CCTCCTCCTCCTCCTCCTCCTCCTCCTCCTCCTCCTCCTCCTCCTCAGGCCCGCACCAGAGGGCACTTCGGCGCAGGGCCACACTCACGAGGCCGTGCGCCCAGGAACCTCTCGCCCGAGCGCTCCGGGTCCGGGGCCTCCTGGCCGCCCTCCTGGACGCGCTTGCTGCGGCCCATGGGCGCGTCGCGCCTCGGCCGGGGCCCTGGCGCCCCGCGGCCCCCCTTTCACGAAGGGCCCGGACAGCTGCGGCAGCCCCCTCCTTCCGGGGAGCCCGACGAGCTCCACGGAGCACCGAGCCGGAACTGGGCCAGAAGGGTGAGATCGGGGGGTGCGAGAGGTGCCCCTGGTCCTTGCCAAGGCGCCCCCAGCTTCTCGCTCCACTGTCAGGAGCCCCTGGGGCCCTCTGGGCCTCGTGAGAGGTGCTCTGGAGGCCGTGGGGCCGTGCTTGGGAATCCCGGGGGGCCCCTGGGCTAGGGGCACTTCTAGCAACACCCGATAAGGCGAAGCCAGGACGAGGACGAGTTAGAACTAACGGAGGATATGGCGACCCGAATCCCCGACTTTGGGGAGCTTTCGATTGGACCAAACATTTGCGGCCCACCCCTGCGATATACAATGGGGTGGCGTCCACCCTCGATATGGGGTGCGTCCGAATAGCCCCCTGGGAGTGTATCCTCCCAGGGTTCCCCCTCTTTCCGAGCGGCCAAGCTTTTCTGGCGCGGAACTCGGGGATTGGGGATGACAAAAACGCCTGCGAAGAACTGGGCAGAAGGGGAAGACGAAGCCAGGACGAGAACACATTCGGATGAGAACAAGTCGAGAACCTCTGAGATCTGGCGGCTCTGGAGGATGTCTCGGGCGCCGCGGCCTTCTCAGCGCGTTTCGGAACGCTCCGAGCGCGTTCCGGAACGCTCTGGGGCGGATCTATTCTCATCCCAGCCCCGTCCGAGAGGGGGCCGTTCCCCTGATCATTGGCCGCCATATTCTGCTGGTCGCGACTGACCAGAGCGGTCGCAACCAACTTTGCTTCCAGTTCCAATATCGGTTGCGACCGACTTGCTTAAACATCGGTCGCGGCCGAGTTGAACACCGATCGGGCACTACCAATCGCGACCGAATAATTACAGTATCCAATGTTCTGAGTCCGATGTGTCCTCAAACACAGATGCAACAGCATGTCGCGTAAGTGTTATGTCCCAGCTAGTTTGCGCGCGCCTATGACGAGCCATTTCAACTATTGCATCCGCTAAATTCACCAGGCACGGCGATAATACCTTGGCGCGCCTACTATCGCGAACATATTCTTATACAAACGACGGAGCGAAAGTCTGCATCATCTAATTGCTCTATTGTGGTCGCGCCCATGGACGATTGCATCTTTGCGCGCCAAAGATTGGAAGCAATTGACTTAATGGAGCAATGGGAGAAACGAATGCATCACAGAAACGATGTATAGTGCTAGAACGCACAGATTGTTACGTCTCAGCTAGTAATCTGAACTCTTGCATACACTATTGCTCAAATGCTTGGGGGCTCCTCTGCACATGTTCCCATCGCGCGATTCAGACCCCAGGTCACCCATATCTTCGCGCTTCGCGCCCAGTATTGGCGGCTCGCACAGGGGGGGGGGTAGGGGAAGGGTGGAAGGCTTCTTCGAAGGAGGCTGCTGTTTAGGAGCCAACCCTGCAGACAAGGCCCGCGCCTTCTGAGCAGCAGGGGCGCTCCTAAGAAATCCTCCGCCTCCCCCTACCCCCCACCCCCTGCGCGTGGCCGGATGGAACGCCACTGTCTTCGCACCCCCGCGCCACCGCCGTGGAGGAGGGCACCCACACCAGCCCGCAGGGTTGCGAGGCGAGAGAGGCGCGGGTTTCACCTCTCCGCGCCCCTGCGGGCGACCTCTAGAGCGCAGCTGCGCAGAGAGGGCGACCGAAGGCACGGCAAGATCAGCAAGTCATCCTCCTCCTCCTCCTCCTCCTCCTCCTCCTCCTCCTCCTCCTCTTGCTCCTCCTCCTCCTCCCTCTCCCTCGCCCTCCTCCTCCTCCTCCTCCTCCTCCTCCTCCTCATCCTCCTCCTCCTCCTCCTCCTCCTCCTCCTCCAGCAGCTCCTTCTCCTCCTCCTCCCTCCTCCTCCTCCTCCTCCTCCTCCTCCTCCTCCTCTTCCTCCTCCTGCTACTTCTCCTCCTCCTCCTCCTCCTCCTGCTACTCCTCCTCCTCCTCCTCCTCCTTCCTCTCCTCCCCTCCTCCTCCTCCTCCCTCCTCCTCCTCTCCTCCTCCTCCCCTTCCTCTCTCCTCTTTCTCGTATTTCTTCTCCTCTCCTCCTCCTCCGCCTCCTCTGCCCTCCCTCCTCCTCCTCCTCCTCCTCCTCCTCCTCTCCTCCTCCCTCTCCTCCTCCTCCTCCTCCTCCTCCTCCTCCTCCTCCTCTGCCTCTTCCTCCTCCAACTACTCTCCTCTTTCTCTCTTATTTCGTCCACCTCCCCTCCTCCTCCGTCTCCTAGGATGAGGAGGAGGAGAGGAGGAGGAGGAGGAGGAGCAGGATGAGGATGAGGATGAGGATGAGGATGAGGATGAGATGAGGATGAGGATGATGATGATGAGATGATGATGATGGAGGAGGAGGAGGAGGAGGAGGTAGGGGAGGAGGAGGAGGAAGAGAGGAGGAGGAGGAGGAGGAGGAGGAGGAGGAGGAGGAGGAGGAGGAGAGAGGAGGAGAGGAGGAGGAGGAGGAGGAGGAGCAGGAGGAGGAGGA